ATCACGATCTAATCCTTGCATTTTTATAGGTTACTCTCTTGAACATATTGCTTTCCGCTATTATAATCTCTACACTCACAAAATTTTTATATCACGTCACGTTATTTTTGTTGAGTCTGTCTTTCCTTTTCAAAACCATACCTCTCCTACCATGCAAAACACTTCATTAACCATTCTTCATTGGAGTATATCTCTGATCCAACTGGATGAGCCTCCCATGACATCATCTAGTTCCTCCTCTTGTGATCCGCACTATTCCACTTCTCCGGTTTAGCAATTGCCCATTCCTACTCCACTTCTTTCTTCTCCGACTATTGGGGTCCTTGGTTCAGGATCACAATCATTATCTTTATCTCCTTGGCTAAGTGACCCTAATGTACCTCCACCTGACCCGACTTTTGTCAATGACTCTCAACCGCTTCTTCCAACAACACAACCTCACGGTCCCGTAGTCTCCAACCATTTTATGACCACATGCTCTAAGAGTGGTGTTTTCAAATTGTGTCAGGTCCTTGATCTTCATGCTATCATGGATTCCTCATCCACCACCGTTGAACCCACTACCTTCACTCAAGCCCAAAAATCTCTACATTGGCGTATCGCCATGTGTGAGGAATATAATGCCCTCCTCCATAACTCAATATGGGATCTAGTACCCTTTCATCATACACAAAACATTATCGGGTGTAAGTGGGTTTTTCGAGTTAAGCGGAACCCCGATGGCTCTATTGCCCGTTATAAGGCATGCCTCGTCGCCAAAGGGTTTCATCAAAGATTTGTAGTTGATTTCACTGAAATATTTAGTCATGTTGTTAATCCCACTACATTCAAACTTATCCTGAGTCTGACCACCACTAAGGGCTGGCATTTATGCCAATTGGATGTTAATAATGCCTTTTTATATGAGACTCTAACTGAAGATATTTTTATGCAACAACCTCCTGGTTTCACTCTTCCTCAGTATCCAAGGTATGTCTACAAACTTCGAAAAGCTATTTATGGACTTCGTCAGGCTCCAAGAGCTTGGTACACTGAACTTGGCTCTTTTTTTACTTCAATTGGCTTTCTTAACTCCAAATATGATTCCTCGTTATTTTTATGACAACACCATAGCGACACAATATATATTCTGGTATATGTGGATGACATTATTGTCATAAGCAACAACCCCGTAAAAATTCAAGCGTTCATCAAACAGTTGGCAGATCGATTCTCCCTCAAAGATCTAGGACCCTTGAACTACTTTCTGGGTGTATAGGCTACATTCACATCTTCCGATCTCTTTCTGTCATAATGAAAGTACATTCAAGATTTATTATCCAAAGCAAACATGCAGGATGCAAATGTGGTTACAACTCCTCTATCTGCTAGTGGCTCTCTCAAATTATCTGATTGAAGTCATACTACGGAACCCACTCAATACCAATAAGTCATTGGTTCCCTATAGTACTTAGTTCTTACCCATCCTGACATCTCATTTGCAATCAACAAATTATCACAGTTTATGCAGAGGTCGTCTACTATGCATTGGTTTGCGATCAAACAAATCTTACGATATCTTAAGGGGACCCTCAATCATGGTCTCTTTCTTCGTAAACACTCTCCACTTTAGCTTCATGCCTTTACCGATACTGATTGGGCAGGCAACTTTGATGATAGAACATCCACATCGGGGTATATTGTCTTCCTTGGTGCTAATCCAATCAATTGGAGTTCTAAGAAGCAAAAGACAATTGCACGATCTACAACTGAAGTTGAATACCGTGCTATCGCCATTGCCACTGCTGAACTCAATTGAGTCACAAATCTGCTCAAGGAACTCAACATCAACTCCACTCCTATAATATATTGTGATAATGTCGGAGCTACCTATCTGTGCGCTAATCCGGTGTTCCACTCTCATATGAAACATATTGCTATCGACTTCCATTTTGTGCGAGATCAAGTTGTATGCTGTCAACTACGAGTTTTTCATGTCCATTCGGCTGATCAGTTAGCCGACTCACTCACGAAGCCTCTCGCTCGTCAATTTTTTTTGCATTATATCGATCCAAGATTGATATCCTTGATAGGAGCATCATCTTGCGGGGCATGACAGCAGATAAAATTTTCCTAACTATATGAGGAAATCTAGAAATCCTCTAATCTGTTGAGAAAAATTTTTCCTCCTAACCTATATATAAATAGAAGAAGGATATGTTAATGTAAATCAACTTATTATGTAATTTTTTTCTCTATCCTTCTTCTGACATAGATGACAAAAGGGAGATGAGAAGGTGACCTTAAAACTCGAGAGTGCATGAAAGGAAGTAGTGGGAGGGAGATGACGGGACCAAGGAAATAAAGTGGGTGTCGAGGATGAGGGAAGAAGAGAGAGGAGCACTGTGTATCGGCATGACACCAATGTCCTCTTTTAGGATGTACACAGTGATTTCAACGTCACCTTTTAGGATGTACACATCAGACTAGAGAAAATTCTTTCAAATGCCTTTTGACCGTCCGTCGTCGAATCCAAGTTTTCATGTTGGGGAGGCGGAAACCTCGAAGCATGAGTGCGAGAGATAGATAGAGAGAGAGAGAGAGAGAGAGAGAGAGAGCTTCACATAGGAGTCGACGTTCTTGGCTTGTTTTGTATCTTTGAGGCCTCCCGAGTCATGCAAGCTGTAGTTGAAGTTCTCAATGCTAGAGAAAGCAGTGCAGAGTGATTGGGGTTTCCCGACCTCAATCCAAATGTTTGAGCTTTGTGTCAATGGTGCAAGATCCACATCATTCGTTCTCTTACGACGGTATAGTATTATAATATTAAAATAGATTATGACGGATAATTTGAGTTTCAACATGTTATAAGTTTGGTTTCGGGAGATGATTAGATTCAGTAGAGGATTCTGTATAATCTAAATTGAGGAGCGTGTGTGAGAAAAGCTACTCCGATACTTACGAGTCTGGAAAATAATTATGAAATTATAGTTTTCCAATCAAATCTTTTATTAGGATACTCTAATAACTATCATGATTGAATCATGAGAATGGTTGCATAGTCTCATCGGATGTTACTACGAGGAAAAGAGTTGTCTAAACCATCAAACATTATAGTTCATTGAAATTAATGATTGATGAGTCCAATTAATGAGACATTGAATATGTGTTGGAATGATAACGACATGATATTTGGATTTCGACATGTCAAATCTTTTATCGGTACATATTCTTGTAAAACTCAACAACTTGTAATTTATCATTGAAATTAATCTTCATCATTAGTATCATAACATTTGAAACCACAATTGAAAATTTATATATCTTCACAAATATTACATATATATATTGAAAATTTACATACCTTCACAAACATTACATATTTATATTCTCTTAAATCAGTATTTTTCATATTTGTCTCTATATACTCAAATAATAGACTCTACTTTACCGATATCGCAAAAAGATATCAAATAACAAAAGATAATTACATATTACTCCTTATAGTTAAATATCCTGCTCTCTATACTTTAAAAAATTAATATTATAATTTGTATAGTTATAAAAGTAAAATAATTAACCTTATTTACCCTAACACTATTGGTTTTACCGACGGAAGATGCAGCAACACATGACAACATGTGTAAGAATGACAAGAATATGATGGGAAAAAAGATAATTTTAATATCCTAGTTACATTTTCATTCTTCTTAGTACTAATGGTACGCGACATCATTGTTGGGGTCGTAGGTGGTTGTTGTTGTTATGATCATTGAGAACGATGCAACGATTAGTGAGAATGATATGGGGATGTCCTTAGAGACAAGCAAGGTGGAATCCTAGAGGTGGAGTTAAGGAACTTCTATGGCTTCTAATGAGGAGAGGAGGAGGAGAAAAATAAAGATGAGAGGAAGCGATGACGAGAGGTAACGTAAAGAGAGAGGAGGAAGAAGACAACGCAGATGTCGATACATTGCATCGACATCGCTCGGTATCTGCGTTAGTATCGACGTAGATCCAGAGCATTGAAGCAGCCGCTCGACATCTGCATCAGTGTTGACACAAATGTAGAGCGACAAAAAGGAGAAGAAGGATGAGGGATCGAGGAAGGGGAGAAGAAGAGGGAGGAAGAGAAAAAGGAGGGAGAGTGACGATGAGAGGTAAGACAAAAGGAGAGACAAAAGAGGATAACGCAGTTGCCGACACTTTGTGTTTGTGTCGAAGCCGACACAGATGTAGAGCCTCGATATCTATGTCGTCCTCTTCCTCCTCACATTGCAAGAAGTCATAAAGTCTCTCAGCTTCACCTCTAGAACTATGCTCGACTTGTCTCTACGAACATTCCCACATCGCTCTTGTCGGCCATTGCATCGTTCTTACTAATCACAACTACAATAGCTACCCACGGCCTCCAGCGATGCCATCGTTCGCCACCATCACTAAGAAAAAAATATATAATTAAAATATTAAAATTACCTTCTTGCCCATCATTTTCTTATCAATTTTACATATGTTATCGCATACTGCATCATCCATCAATAAAATCGATAATATTATAATAAATAAGATTAATTATTTTATTTTTATAATTATAGAAATCTCAATATAAATTTTTTTAGTTTACCAATCGAAATGATCTAACTACTAATGATAATATGTAATTAGTCCCAAATAACAATAAATCAGACTAGTTGGGACATTAAACAATATAAAATGGGCTTCTACTTCAGCATTTTATCAAAACAAAAGTCTAAATAATAACTTTTTATTGTAAAAGAATCTTGAAAGCATATTTGAAAAAAATAAAAATGGCAAACTCATCTCTCTCTCTCTCTCTCTCTCTCTTTCTTGCACTTAATAACAAAGAAATATATATCATTATATAATTAATTTAAGCCATGGTCACATCATACTTTTTTTATAAATTTCATATATATATATATATATATATATATATATATATATATATATATATATATAAAGCCTTTGTTTTTTTATGAGAGTGGTGGAGGAAACGAGGAAGTCCGACTGTTTCGTTCTTCCGTTCATTACGCCGTTGTCTGCGGTCTCTCTCTCTCTCTCTCTCTCTTCCCCCGCTTGGTAGGAGAAAGCGAGGAGCAATCTCAGAACGCAACCCAAGCGCAATACCACTCGCGGAAGGTGGAGAGAGAGAGAGAAGACCGATGGCAAGCACGAAGGCGAAGGCCGGCGACGATCGAGCTTTCCCTCCGGCCAACCCCGCACAGGAGCTGAACCGCGAGAAGCCTGACGAGTTCCCCGTCGATCCCATCTCCACCGACGTCTCAACCGCCAAGCAGTGCAAGGTGGTACTGTTACGTACTCTAATACACTCGAATCCTTGTTCTTCTTCTTCTCTGACATAGTGTATGTGGGAAGGAGGAGGCTGAGGCGAGGCCGAGATCAGGAGCAGCAGCGGAGGCTGAGAAGAGCGATCTCGGCAGCAGACTGATGTCCGTTCTCATGATATCGGGCGTGGTCATCGCTGCCGCAGGGGTGGCATTCTTGGTTACCAAGAAGCTAAAGCAAACATAGAGAGACAGACAGACATCAGCTGAGGATCCTTGTGATGGAGATGGAAAATGAGGCTACAGTGTTTTCTCTGCTCCTGTATTTGTTTTTGTTTCTGGTTTGGAAGCCAAGTATTACCTGCTGATGAAGATTTTACCTTTTTCATGTACTGTTTCAGTGATAAGTTTGCATTCTACATCCGATATGTAACTTATTTGGCTGCTGGTACGAGTTCAGTATGAACATTAGTCTTCCATTACGTACCTGAGATCTGTGGCATGGGATTCATGGAACCTGATAGGGGAAATAAAGACGACATGATGTGTCACGACGACGGCCCCACCTGGGCGCCACTCTGCCCGATGAGGAAAGCAATAACGCTGACTCGACTCGCGCTGATGTCACCCGCTATCAGGCAACGACTTCCAACCCCGCACGCCTGAACATGGCAGGGCAGGACGACTACCGACCCTCGCCCATACCCTGCGACGATCCGGTTCTCCACACAACGTCAATAACGGTGTCAGACGCCATCAGAGGTACGACCCTGCCTCACACAGGCGGAAACATCAGGTAACGGTAAGCTTCCCTATAAATACCCTTGCACTCTAAACAGCCAGGGGGGGAAAGATGACAACTCCCTACCACTTCTCCTAACTTGATCGTCGGAGAGGTCGGGTCGAGCTCCCGACCCGACCTGTGTGCAGGAACAAGGGCGAGGTCATACCTTCCCGACGCCACGCCAAGGCTTCACCTCCCATGCCACGTCCCCTCCGGACCGTCGCGACCGGTCACCCCAGCTGTCCCAAGGAGTACCGTGCCAGATCCCCCAACATTCAGACCCGAACCAAGCCGCGTCGGCCTCAAGGCCACGGCTAAAAAAGTTGTTTACACCAACACAGAACCAACTCTTCCGATGCTAATCACGTAAGAGAAGGGGTGTGTACCAATTGAGCGATCTTGAGGGCGTCGTCTTCTTCTTCTTGTGCAGTTATTACCTTCCATCTTTTTACATACTTATAAGGTCACGAGTTCCAATCATGCATCTGTCCCTCTTTATTTCACCTAATATTTAATTAATAAATAATTATGCAATACACTCGCTCGAATAGAATAGAATAGAATAGAATAGAATCTCTATCGGTATCTCATCTTCGTATATCTATGTCATGGTTACTGTGGTGCTCTTATGTTTAGGCAGCAGCATCTAATACACACGTCACGAAATCTATTCTAAAGGTAATTAATTTACTGAAATCTGCCTAACCCATTTAATAACGTAAAAATCACCTTTAATTTATTGATTTTTATTTTTAATCTCCTAATTACTTCAGATGACACTTGCTACAACATCTCGTTCGTTGATATTGAAAGCTAGACATAGACTTTGCTTCTTCTTATCTCTATAATGTTCTTTGATCAAATTATGCGTTTGATTATTTTCTGCTTAGTGATGCTCACATACTTATTTTTTTCAAGTGCGTTTGATTGAGGAAAATTCCAGGGGAAATTGTTTCCCATGGAAAACTTTTCCCATAATTGTTTGTTAGAAAAACCAGAAAAATAAGTTTTTAACTGTTCTTTTCCGATTTTTTTTCAAATAAAAAAAAGACACTCCTTAAGAATTTTATTTCACCAGCCATGATAGGGCGATTAACATTAACAGGCAAAAAAAAGTGCTTTTTTTATGATGATAATGATGATGATTAGCTTATTCATGACGGATTAGCAAGAGGGGTGGGAGGTCAATACACAGTTGGGGGCATCAGAAGGTTAAGAAGGATTCTAGTTGACATTATAAAAAAAGATAAAAGAAATCTGATCACTGATTGTTATAGAAGACACCCCTATATCAAAGTCTAAACATTGAGATCATTTGTTCATTTTATGTCAATGCCTACCTAAAGCCTACAAAGAATTGTTTCTCTCAGACATCTGACTCATATTCTGTATATTAAGAAATAAATCCTACAGAGAATTCCTAATCTTTACCATATATGCAATCTTGGCTGTTTAAAAAGCCAACAAATCAATTCCTAGACAAGGCAACTCCAGGAAGACTCAAACCTGTTTCTCTATGTTAAAGAAGCAAGCTGAGCTCTTAAATTGATAACAAAGTATTTCAGAAGAGGAATCATGTTCTGATGTTATGCAACAACCAGTGGAAAACGGCATGGCATAACATTCGAATGAACCAGCAGATAACTTGCGGATATGATGTAATCGAAATTGTGAGTTTGTGTGTCTCGTAAAGTTCGTAAAACGTTGAGGTGTTTGCTCATAATACTAAAATTAACAAAACAAGTTGACACTTGTGAATGGCCAAAAGTTTACAACTCAAACAGCTTAAGAAATCATGTTTAAGCGAGACCATTAACGGAAATATCAAAAGAGAGATTGAGCCGTTACCATGTTCATTCAGAAAGTTTGAACCAATATGGCAGATTTACCAAATCAATCATCAGACTCCTTGGATGATTCGTTAGGTTCCGAAATAGGCGCTTTCTGGCCTTTATGTGCCACAACTGATTCACGAAACTCTTGCACAATGCTGCTGTCCTTGAACTTGAGAGCAACAGTAGTCAGGCCATCCTTTCCTTCTCCAGTGCTATTAATGCAAGCAAAAGTAATGCCTCTCTTGTCCATGTCAGTGAGGGACATGTCTGGGTAAAGATTTGCATTCAAGATCAGCCTATAATTACCCTTAGATCGCATAACAAGCCTTGCCTTTTCCACATCTGATGCTGAGATATTTATCTTAAGCTCTCCCTTGCCCCTCTCCTTCCACCCTCCGTCCAAATACTCATACATTATGGCATCAGCAGTAAAAACTGCTCTCTCGTTCTCTTCGCCTGTCTCAACAGGCACCTCCAAGAGTTTCACACTCTTAGAGGCATCTGGTGCAGCCCCCAGCGATGGCAAGGAAGAGTCCCCATTATTAGCACTCCCGGTACCGAAGGAAAATAATGAACTTTCACTCTTGAATGCAAAAGGAGATGCAAAACTTGTTCCAAACTTGGATCCTTCCTTGGCAAAGCTTCCAAAGGCAAAAGAAGAAGTTGAGAATCCAGTTCCTGCAAGCCCTGAAAAGGCATTTTGGCTACTTGATAATTGCTGAAATGAATTCAGAGGTGCATCAGGTTCAGCAGGATCTTTTTGATCATTTTCCTCCACTTCTTTCTCACTTTCCTTTTCTTCATTCTCAGTTTTATCTCCAGCTTCTTCTGTCGTTTCTTTAGCTTCCTTCTCAGTTTCTTTGAGGTCAACCCCATTTGTTTCATCTATACCTCCACTATCAGTTTTTACCCCACCTTCTTTGGCATCTTTACTGGCGTCCACAGGTTGGGGTTTCTCTTCGATTTCATCATTTTTCACCTTATCATCCCCCGGTGCTGATGATGGTTCAGGTTTCACATCCAATTTCTCGCTACTCTCTTTCGTTTTCTCAATTTCGTTAATAGAATCACTAATTTCACTTCCTTTACCCGCATCAGTAATTAAGCTGTCCTCATTAGTATCATTTTGTTCTCCTACAGGTTTTGTACAACCACCAGTTTCAGGTTGCTCAACTGCATTAGTTGCTTCCGCACTGGAGTCCACTGGAGCCACTAAACGAATTCCAGCAAAAGGATTTGAAGCAGCAGCTGCTGGTGGCTGATTGCGCCGAACCTTCAGTATTCTTCTAGTAGCCATTACTTCCTCACTGGCTTTTTTGAAAGTACCCATCTCTGCCTCAGGAGCATCTTCATCAGGATCAGGGTCATCCTTTGATAGTTGTCTTCCAGCGACCCTCTTCTTGGATGCAGGTAAGGCACTTTCTGCATCCCCCATTTGAACAAACCTAAGCTTGACACTCTGACTTCCCAACGAAACCTGAAAACTTAAATTAGTAACAAAGGAAAATATTATTGTTCCTGAAGTGATATAACAACAGAACATTTTCTACAATTTTTGGCAAATGATGATTAAATGCAGCAGCTAAAAAAGCAAAAGACATAGTGCACATATACCATCATATTAGAAATAAATTCTAGCGATGACTATATGAAAGAATGAAAACGTAGTAGTCTCTCATGAAATCAAAAAAGACATACCTGATTACCATTATCAGGAAACGAACTAGAAGGCTAGAATTTAGGTTTCACTCAACTGAATAGGAAGGCAATCTTCATGAACAGTATGATGCATGAGACCCAATAAACAGACTTGTATTGAAAACTTTCTGAAATGTCTAGGGGCTTAGAAGATGATGTAATTTCAAGACATTTTATTTCTAAACCATGTAATAGCAAGATGATCAGTAAGTGTTTTATCCCAACATCATCCTCCTCTAAAAGGCTAATGCAATAACAGAGAAGATGATGAAGCAAACTCTTCTTTGTTCATAAGGTCTTGTAATCTGTTCTTCCTCACTAGTTGTTTCAAACTTCATAATGAATCCCAGAATCTTAACACCACACAAGTCATTTTCTTCAATTGGGGAAAAGCAAAAGAAGATATTTCAGTCCCTGCCTTCGAATAAATAAATGCCCACTATACTATTCCAGCAAACGTTGCAATTTGCAAATGGTCTATCCAGAAATGCAACCAAAGATACATATGGTCGCTAATCACTAACTAGATTAACAACATATGAACAATTTAACTTCCAAACTACTTTGAAAAAGTTATTATGTAAGCCTTCATGGAGAAATGAAAAACGGAAACAGAAGAACATCAACTGGATTCATAACTTAAAACAACTAAAATTGTGCACAAATTTTAATTCGATTTCAATACCTTAATCATACTCTACTAAGATTCCACGAAACAAGAAATCTTGCTACAGAAGTCATATAGGCAAATAATGCATGTCATAGAACATAATTGACAGACAAAAAATTCATTCCTTTTATGAGAAAACAGATAATAGGTTACTCACAGGTCTAACATAACTCATTCAGAGCGAAAAAAAAGTGCCAAGAGAGCAGTATCACACAAATAATCCTCAAGTGGCCTTTCTTGTGTCTATGCAGTGATCAAGTAAAATACAGTGGCTTAGCACGAAAGCTGGGATGTCCAACATGAGCAGTCTTGTGCTACGCGGTCATTTAGGTTGCAAAATAACAACCCTCCCATGGAACAAAAGTTTGCCCTCTCTTATGCATATTAATATTTAATCATGGCAACAAAAATAAGAACACTAAAAACGACTACTCTACATCATAGATTCAAGTATCAATCAGTCTTCATATCCCTTCAACTACTATTTCCATTGGCCTCCATGTCTAATCAAAATCATTCGTTCATGGTAAAAGGAGTGACGAGAATATCACACATATAATCCTAAAATGGCCTTTCTCTGGTCTAATATAAAGCGGCTTAGCAGACAAATCCCCTACTGAAGTGCGCACAAAAGATAAAAATATTCTTCAGATGATAAACATGTATCCAGTACAACCGCAAGGCAGCACACAGCCACTAGCCACCATCCGTCAACAAGCGACCAAGCCAGCCGTACAACATCGACTCTTTATGTGAACATCTACACAACTATGCAAGTGGAGAAAAGACCTAACTACGGAAATGCGATCTTTGCTCGTGGAATCGATCAAAAGTAAAATCCTATAAATCAAACCTTAAATATTACAAGCTAAAGCCCTAAAGAAAGTGCCTCATGTAAGATCCCAATCCAGATCGTGAGTTCGCCCCTCGACACATCAAGACTAGGGCTCGCTTCCGAGATCAGGGAAAGAAAACAAGGGGAAATTAATCACAAGACCGAGAAATCAGGAAGACGAGAGAAAGGAGGAAGGCATAGTACCCTCGAGAATCGCAACTGAGTTGGGTGGATGACGGATTTCGCGTTCTTCCCCCCTCCCGGAGCGACTGAGACGAGGGCAGGTGATGCCCTCCTCCCCAAATCAGCGATGAACACGGATACGCGTGGTTTTGCCCTAGCTTATCCTGACCGTCGATGATTACCCAACGGCGCATGGGAGCTTATAAAGAGTTCTCCTACTGTCCCCTATGTAATTTGGGCCGGCCTGCTCACGCGCACACACACAACCCAAAAACCTAATGGTTTCGTCTTATCTCTGTTTATGGGTTCGGCTAACTATGTAGTATTGGAAGATAAATCCAAAAAATAGATACCTTCTTACCCGATGATAACATATGCGACATTTGGTGGTTGGTTTTACTTAGGACTCGAGGAAAACGGATGCATGAACGTACTGTGTTATCGTAACACACAAACACCGGAATCGCACAAGCCAAATAGAACAACAAACAATTTATTGGGGCTATAGAAAGATTCCTTCCAATTATCTGATTTCAATGGAAAATTATGATTTACCATCATGTCATATAATATTTGAATGGTAACACATCTACTTTGTTTGAACTTTGCCAATTTTTTTTTTATTGATCCAATGATTATTTGTACAGTTAAATGATCGAGGAGTAATCGTTAGAGGGTTTTCTACGAAATGTTGGGACAATTTGGAAGAGCCTGAATTATGGTCAGGTCAGGACCCATATGATCTTCTCACGCTCAAACCTTGGTCGAGTCCTAATGAGTAATCCAATAATTAAGTCTTGCCAGTTATGTTGTCATAACGTAGCATAATTATCTGCAGACGAATAAAGAAAATCTAATGCCATGGTCATAACATTCATACATAAATGTAATGCAATCGAGTACGTCAGACCAATCGAGTTCATTAATATTCAACCTCATGAAGGAAACATCAGTTACCTTCTGAGGTTAACAAAGACCATCTATAAGCCGATGGAACAATTTTATCAACTCAAATCTTGGAAGCAAATGAGAGGCCTTCCTTTGCCAGTTGTTCGAGGTCTGTGACTTGGGGCTGCAGCCTTGCTAACTTGGCTATTGTCTTGGTCTCATCTGGTGATCCACCTTCCAGGAAAGCCCCCAGCAGCTTTCCATCTTTGATCCAGTAGGAGCCAAATTTTGGTTTAGCTGATGCAGGGTCGTTGTCACCGAACATAACTGTTTCTCCCACATTGTCTCCATAGAATTGCCATGACAGATCAAAAGAGCGGGAATAGAAGTAAGGAAGATAATCATATTCATCGATTACTTTACCTTCCTCACTTGCCTTGATTGCCTGATTCAAGTTTAAAAGAAAAGGCTCAAAGACCATCCAGCTTATGAGCGATAGATACTAAGTGCAGGCGTGTAAAACATTCTCTAAAGAGAAAAGGAGAAAACAAAAAAAAAGTGGAATCGACAAGATTACTAGTAACCTTGACAGCCTGCTCTGCTGATTTTCTGGCATGATCGACATGCTCGACTCTCCTTATATCGTTGTATAGCTTCATGGGGAAGGTAGCTACGTCACCCACAGCATACACCCCAGGAACACTTGTTTGGAAGAACCAGTCAGTCTGCAACACAAAGAATATTGTAGAACTTTTTGAATAAAATATATCATAAATACAAAGACAAATAAACATGCGGGTAGATTACAATTGAAATTTAGAGGCACAAAGCGCAAACAATATCTTAACCTCAGAATATGAAGAAAAATGCAAAAATAACATCTTTTCCAATGCACAACCGGAAGATGAAAAGGGCATGATAAAGATACTCAGAAAGTATCAAGTTGTAAGTATTCAGTTGCAAATTGAAACTGGTAGGTGAATATTCAGTATGCTAAATAGTCAGAACAAAGCTAGATGGTTAAGGTCAATTGCAAATAATGACAACACCTATTCCTGTGATATTTAAAGGGGACAACAAAGTTGACTTAACCTTGATTCCACCTTTCTCCTCTTCGACTTGGGCTTTGAACAGTTTTGTAAGGGGTCTACCACCAACACCAACTACTACAATGTCTGCTTCAAGTACTCTTCCATCTTTCAACTTCACTGATGTTACCTGATAATTGAAACTACTAATCAACTAATGCCTGAGAAGAAAAATGTAACCTTGAATGTTGTCTGTAGGGTATCAATAGTGCTTTAAAACTTACATCTCCATTGGCATCAGAATCAAATCCAACAACAAGTGTCCCTTTATCTATTTTTACTCCCTTATTTGCATAATAACCTTCATAGAAAGCAGCAATGTCTGAAGTAAAAAGCCTAGGCACTGCAAGAAAAAATAAACTATGTTAGGACTTTATTGTATTCAAGAATCTAACTCCATGTATATGAAATGGATCTCTCAGGATTAACAGTCTGAAATTCGATGAGAAGGTAAGCCTAACTGCCTAAGTTGATCAAATATTACTACCTTTAAGCATATACTTAGTTTCTATAAATCTTATTTTGGTCAAATAACAAAAAAATATATGATGTAGGTTATAAGGAACATACTGCACCAGGGCTCAGGGTACACCATAGTGACATCGAAGTTGTTCATTTTCATAACAGCACTAAGTTCAAGACCAATGTATCCTCCTCCAACAATGACAACTTTTCCATTCTTCTTTGTCTCTATTGCTGCCACAAGCTTATCAGCATCATCAATTTCCCTTAGATAAAATATGTTGTTAGCATTTGCTCCAGGAGTACCAAAATCAGAGAGATTTATAACCTGCATACAAGGCATGTGAAAAACAATATTAAGTTGGATCACTTTTAAACTCAATGTGATCCAGATATTGTAAGATTGGCTAGGTTCATCCAACTAACTTACAGTAGAACCAGTGGCAATAATCAGAATATCATATGTGAAGGTTGCACCAGCTGCACTGGTTAGAGTCTTGGAAGCCAAATCTGCTTTTACGATTTCAGTGCTGAGAATCAGTTCTATTCCTGTAGCCACAAACAGATGTGTAAAGCATGTAAAATAACATTTAAATATATGAAATATATAAAGGATAACACAGAGTAATACATAAAAAAACAAGAATACAATTTAATGTATATATAAAAGTATAATATAAAAAGTAGATACATAGTAAAAATGATATGAGAACCATTTACATTATAAAATAACATGAAATAAAAATAAATAAAAAATATATACTATAAATAAAATTACAGCAAATTAATATATATAATTATTGTAACCAGTTTAAATTTTGATTCTAATTCTGAAATTTGTAAACCAACAATGTAAAAGACTCAAGTCATTCCAATTCCAATCTCACAGTATGCAAAACAATCAATGTGAGAGGATAGTCTTATTCCGATTTCACAAAAGTTTCCATTTTAATGCCAATTCTGATTCCAATGTGACACATGTTTCCATGTGCTGCACACCAAAATACCACAAAAAAGTATTTATTATGAATACTGACCGTTTTCTGAATACCACTCTGGAAGTAGTCTTTCTCCCCCACTCCCTACACAAACATGAAAGCCTGGGAGCCTTGCAGCGCCTGTGAATTCAGAATATATAATTGAAATAAATAAAGATAACAAAAGTAGATGCTTTTCTGCAGGTCCATCGATGAAGAAAGCATTTCAATGGATCAATTAAAGATGCATGCAACTTGTCGTGTGTGCAACATACAGGGATTATGACTCAGGTTGCACGAGTCTACTGATGCAAATACAGCTTTTTGCAGATACACCAATTAAATAATGGAAAAGTCAATTGGTACATTACCCAGTTGAGGAGGTATTGATTCACAAAAACTGATTAAAAAAAGGCATCAGGTTTTGAATATTAGAAAAACTTAATAGGAGATACCATAAGGAAACACACATCTATTGGAAAACCAATAAAAAACAACATCATAATCAACTAATAATGACAACTTTTGACCTACCCTGAGGGAAGAGGTATCCCTTGCTAAGTGCTGGTCGTTCATAAGGAGCCACCTGAAAGATACTATCTTGTTAAGAATCAATGTGCCAAAGAAATGTGCTTCAAGGAATGTGATAAAAATAGTAGATATAAGAAATAATCAACAATGCCATGGTTAAAACAGAAATGATTTACTAGCAGTGACATTCAAGATATTTAACAGCGACGTAAGTTGGCTGCTTTCAGCAATAAGAGAACTTACAGGTTCTATTTCTTGGTGTGCTAAGATATGCTGAGATAAGGAATAGCATCAATATGAGGAGAATCTTAAAAAATTCATGATTCATAGACCTCTAGAGATTATAACCTTTCGATGACCAGTAGATCATGATAGAGTCCTTACAAAAGATAATTTGGTCAAGAGAAGATTTGGTAGAAGGGTTGCTAAATATTCAAGAGGTGTATCCATTAATTATATCGATGTGGTGGAATTATTAGGAAAGATAGGAAAAATAATAATTTTATTCATGAACAACTGTATATCGCTTTGATAGAGAATAAGATGAGAGAAAATCATTTAGGATGATATGGGCACATCATTAGGAGACCTCTGGATACAATAGTCAAAAGAGATAAAATCATAATGATAGTGGCATGAGAAGAGAAAAAGGAAGACCTAAAAGGATTTTGATAGAATCTATAAATAAAGATTTAAATATCTTGACTTACAGTTTATATATCTCAATGGTGACAAAAGATCTATGTAACCAACCCCAAAGAATTGAGACTTACAGTTTTGTTGTTGTTATTATTGTTGTTGCTGAATATTTTAGATAATCTATCTTTTGGGGAGAACTTCACAAGAAGGCAGAATTTCTAGGAAACAAAGGATTGTGATGGTTTAGTGCAACTGCTCTTCAAAATTTGAAAAGAAAGAACAAGCTTATTTCTATGGTAATGATTAAACATTGTTTTCCATCTCAAGCAAGGGCTTCTTTTCAGAATCCACTTAGTTTTTCTCAGATAGATGTTGTTTTTCAGTCGCTGGCTCAGTGACTATAGTTCAAAATCTAGGGAAAAAACCTTCTTTACGAAATGTTTCAATAGACAATCTCAAAACAATTAGATTGTGGCCAATTACCACCATACCACAAACTTTGTTCTATAAAAAGCACAATATCTCATTTGAATTATAAAATTTTCAACAATATCTGAACCCACAACAACACCAATATGACTAGGAAGACAAATGGAATACCTCATATGTTCAACAAAATGCTACTATATATTTGAAGTAAAGCAAAATAAGATATGCCAAAGGCTCAGCATAATTATTAGAACTGAAGCTATCAATGACCTGGTCAAGTTTCCATTCACTGATCACTGGTTGGACTGGTGGTTCAATTGGTTCACCCACAAATTCAGTAGAACACACTATAAACATGCTGCTTATCAATGCAAATAGCTAGAGATATCCAAAGAATTAAGTGTGAACTTCAGTCGTAACTGGGGCAATTGCTTAAAAACTCAGCTGAGTCAGGCTCAAAAATGCAGAACTCAGGTTAGAATGAAGAGAACTCATTGAACCCAAGCAAGTTGCTTATTACTTGGACTGATCTCAATGACAATCAGATTGGGATGCCAAAATGATCACTAGTCTTGAAAGTTATACGCTAGTTATAACCTAAGATACTCATGAAAATACATAGTAAGAGAAAAAAAAAGGTGTAGTTATCAAGTAACATATGAAACAGGAAAATCATAGGGTTGTCTAATCCCTGACCCTCCTAAATTCCATGAAGCAGATGAAGGATTTGAGGCACTCCTCCTAAAGAGAAATAGCCTTATCTCCATCGTGCCATAAAAGATCACCTTTTCCTCCCTTCAAATCACCATTAGTGTTGACCATCCCCAACTGCATCACACCCCGATTCCTGCTCCTATAATAATATTTTACACCCAAATCTCGAAAGAAAGGATCAATTCCCAACCATAGCAACTCACCATTTAACATTCTCCTCTTTTCATCTCTTACCTTCCCTAGGGCTCAAAAGGTTGAGACCACAACCAAGTCCTACAACCAGACTCGGTCTCTGTTTGTGATAAAAGGCAAGATTGAGATATGCTATCCACTCCCAGTGATCCTGATAAGTCATTTTCCCTTTAGTGGGGAAGAATATGTTTAATTCATGTCTATGACGACTGACATTTAGGTTGTAGAAGATTTCAATTTTCTAATGATTTTGTTCAGAATTGGGAGTTTGATTTGCTTTTCACCCCTTAGATATATATCAATAAAAGATTTAGATATCAGAAGCAAAGAAAGCAACAGGCATCAATGTCATGCATATGTATCTTTTTTTGTTTCTGAACAAATTTACGTTGAGTCAGTGAGACCACACATAGCAGTGTTATCCACTCCGTCCGTAAAAATTTACCACGACTATAAGTCTATAACCTAGAAAGAAGGAGTGCTAGTATGGATACAACAACATCTCAATTTGTCGACTGTAACACCAAAAAAGCCAATAATTTATTGAAAAAGTGTGAAGAGAAATTTATCAAAAGGTAGAGCACAACACCGCCTCTTTTGATATGATTGCCAATTCTCCTGGATTGAGGCCATGCTTCGCAAACTCTCTAGCCGCATATCCCTGCAAAATCAAAGTGAAAAACCCTGATATTGTTGCAACAACTGCAATTGGGGAAAATGCAAAGGAAGAAGAATGCAATGACAGCAGCTATCATCACACACTGAATCGTTAGTATCTCTGATGATGGAAGATTATTGTAGTACCCGATCATATATTTAGAGTACGTGGAGAGAAACTTAAACGAAAAACATCACTATTCCCAGCCAGATCAAAAGGATCTGGGAAATTCTACGGACCCAAACTGGAAAAGGAGTGTGAAGAAGAGGGAAGACCAGGGAAAAGGCGATCAGAGACTCACCGCTGCGACGCCGCCGCCGAGGATCACGTACTTGAAGTGCTTCTCCGCCATGATTTCTGTAAGGGGTGAAGAACTAGCTGTTGACAGAGGCTGCCGATTAATCGGCTTCAATTTATAGGGGAGGGGCCGCAAGGATTGGTCGGGGAACGCCACAGTTGCTTCGAGACACGTGGCGGATCCTGGTACGCTTATCGCTAACAAACCACGCCCTCGCCACGACAGCCTGCCCCAATATGGACTGTCGTTGCGACGGTCGCGGCCCGCAATCACGGACGCCCTCTGATTAGTGAAGGATTTCGCGATCACAGATCGCGCCCGTTCATTCAGAGGTCCCTGTGTGAACGCTCCGAGATTCTTTCGTTAGAAATAACATATGGGCTTGCTGGTGCGAAATAGTAAAATGTAGACTTGATATCCAGGCCTCGATGGCTTTACTAAATGTGAGCCACAGGCCCAACCGATGCAACGAAAATTATTCACTTCACATGCGTTCCAAGCTTTAGATCCATCGTGATAAATCCAGAGAGTGGTGTCTAAAAGATCATAATGCTTGCCGTGACAGTGGGTCAAACTTTGGTCAAATCACTAGAAATTATGTCATTTACTTCTGGACACCGCTCAGTTCAGTACATGGCAACTCTGAGTGTTTTAAGAGTAATAAACCGAGGTTATTGGGGGCAATTAAAAAATTCCTCTCTTCCACTTGTGTTTCCAAGGAAAAGAAATCTCACATTTAGCACGATCAATTCTTTGAAATCTAAATTATGTTGTGTCAACACACATTGGCACTAAGATATCAACGTGCAACGGTAACAGGTCTTAAATATCAACATGTTCATCAATTGCTTTGAGAATTGAGGAGAGACTGAATCACTGAGATGAAAATATAAGAGGGAGATGATCACCTTGATGGGTAGGTTCCTTTCTAAAGAACAGACACGTTAATTACCAAACAATAGCATGAAAGTCACAAATTAACATGTTAATCAGAAGCAGCATAACTTACGACTTCAAGTTGCAGAAACTACAGACGTTAAATTATCAACAACAGAAACCAGCACTTAGCCTTTACATCCACAGCAGCCAAATAGTTTTACTATTCGTCAGCGGAATCTTTTGTACCTAAAACCAGTGGAGTAACAAAAATGGGTAGCACTCACTGCATTTAACGAGATTGAGAGCTTTAATAAGGCTCTCCACTTGTACAGTTAAAGAAAGCCAATTTAATTCCAACTTAATAAACAACATCAAATATAAATGACATCCAGATTTTCTGATCGTCCAAGCGGACCAACAGGACAGCAGTAGAATCTTTCCTTTAGTGCGTCGTCCACTTTATCACCGATTTCCTACAATCAAGGTAAAAACATGATACACAAAATATATATACAGTACTTTTATTTAAGTTTGTAGTAAGGCTTTCTAAATTTGTAAGAATTCTAAAGAAGGTTAATACAAAATGCCAGTCTGGCTTGGATTTTATGCCATATGGGTATACTATAGTAACATGGCATACTTCATTGAGTCATAATTTAAGGTGTAGGAATTACTAACAGTGTAGTCAGGAGACAAGGTACAGGCATATATTGGGATCAGGCCAACAAATAACAGTTGGTAAAGGTTTGATATTTTAGGTCGTGATTTCATGCATCAAATGAACATACCCTTGCTACAATGAACAGTTCAAAATCTACAATTTAGGAACTGTAACATTCAATATCTTCACGTCCTGATAAGGCTTGTCACTCTTATCTGTCTTAACCTTCTCTATTCCCTGCTCAAATACCATCAGAGGGAAGAAAGTCAATATGTAACTAATAACCTGATAACAACAAAGTTTGCAAGCTATTGTACCTGAACAACGTCCATCCCCTTGACAACTCTGCCAAAAACAGTATGCTTATTATCCAGCCATGGGGTAGCCACTGTGGTAATAAAGAACTGAGAACCATTGGTATTTGGCCCAGCATTTGCCATTGATAATGTGAAAGGTCTGTCATGTCGTAAGCTGCAAGCATGCAGATAACAATAACTCCAATCAGATGCATTATAATAGTCAAGAATTTATTGTAAGAACTAATTTAAGTGTATTGTCCAAATCGGAGGCACTGGATTTTTTTTTAACAACTCTAATAATATATATATATATATATATATATATATATATATATATATATATATATATATATCAAGCTCTTGATTGCATTTCTTCAATGAAACAATATAAGCCTACATCAACTCCTGTCCAAAGTTCACTCCTATTGAATGGAGACAATGATGCCCTCAGATTAACAATTCCTCAATCGTCAATATAGTAAAGTCAGAATTATCTTCAGAGTTGAAATTTTGCTTGATGTGCAAGTATATACGACTCCAACAAGAACAATGTCCTTTGGCATATTCAGGCTCTAAAATTTAAAACTATGATTAATCAGTACCCTAATGCTGAAAAATGTCTTCCAATGGTTGTCAAAACTTATTCTCAATTCTATGCATAATAATTATTTGAAAATAGAATTTTTACTACCTAGCTTGGTAACATGCAAGTTAATTTTCCGAACTGATTTTATCAAAGAAAATCACATACACATTGTAAAAAGAAAAACCTTTTTTTTGGAGAAAAAAAGATAACCATGAGTTAACCCTAAGTTGAATCAGTACTCGATCACTAAATTAAAACATCTTTTTCATTGTGTAAAGTAAATACTCCCTAGAATCTAATTTTTGTCTCATTTACAGGTCATATTTGTAAAACTGATGAATTCCATATGGTGACCCTTCATGGTACTACAGTGTGCAATAAGATAACTTAGGACTACTAAACCAGAAACTTGAGTTTTCTACTGCAAAGTGCTTTCTAACACCTTGATGTTTCCTAATTCTAGATTCATACCAGGTCTTGTTTTTACAACAAAAATTTTTTTCTCTAGGCACATTTTAAACTGCACAATTTTGAATTGAACAACACAGAATGACCAATATGAAATGTTGACACAAAAAAAGTATATCAACCAACTGTCCCAAACTCAGTGATATCTTGTTTTGCGTAGATTGTGATGATTCTTTCTTATCTAATGTATCTGTACTCTATGCTCATCAATCAAATGCCATCCTTTGTATAAAGAAAATAAGGTAGCCCAGTGCATGAGACTCCAACCACTGTAGGTCTTGGGAAGATTAATGTAACATGGTCTTTCCCCTACAAGCAAAGAATATTTCTGTGACTCTAATTCTAGTCACCCAAGTTCACAAACCTTACCATAAGCCTACAGTAGCCTTTCATCAACCAAGAGTACTGTTAAAGAAGCGCAGTTCTCTTTTGAGTTGGTAAAGATTATCACTGGTTAAAGTATAGGTAGCTTGGGATACCTAGAGAAAGTACCTTCACTGCCTAAAACATGCCGACGGCCGACCTCTATTTTTTCAAACTGAGACCCAAAGGACTCAAAACTACACGGGAAAAAGTGGCCTTGCTAGAAAGCAATGAGGCTATATTCTAATATAATAGTTACTTTAGGAAAATGATTAATTTAATTATGTAGGAGCTTATAAGGTTAAGAAAGCTGGTCTTTACATAATTTTAGTGAAGTAATATTCTATCCTTCTTGAGGATTCCTCTACCTCTCTCCGACTAACTCTATTCTTCTCTTGCTTTCTGCTTTCTGTAAATGATTTTTGCAGTAGAGTACTCACAGTATATCATTCCACACTCATGTAATTTTTGCATTAACTACTGAAAATGAAAACAAGAAGAACTGTGCTAAGCAGTTGAAAACTAGCACAGAACATCGTCATATCTTATGAGAATGGATCCATCTGGCGACCTCAAGTGGTTGTAATTACAGCTTCTTGTAGGAGCAGTAAAACTAAAACCAGAAGAGAAACTTTAGAAGATATCAAAACACCAAAATTGAATATAAAAAGTGCAACCTCACAAATACCAGGGGAAGAAATGAATAAATTGTCAAAAACTGCAGACCAAGAAACTTCTATCACATAGATCTCCTATGCAACTAGGAAAGCTTAAAGAAGATACATTGCAAGTGAATGCCCACATGAGGAACTAATGCCCTGTAACTGTTTAGATTAGAAGTGATACCATACAGATTAGATGTAAGGTCAAAAATGAAATTATTGGATTCTGAAGAAAGAAGGCAAAACCAAGCAAGGTGAATCATCCAAAGATGGTTTAAGCATGTCCAGATAGATATGTACATACATTTTCAAGCAGGATAATCAATTGTGATTGAAGCTGCAAAGTGCGCAAGCGGGCACGAGAGAGAGAGAGAGAGAGAGAAGTTATTATTAGGAAGCATATATCGACTGCAGGGTTATCTAGTACCATTGCACCGGATTTTGAAATAGCAAGTTAGTAGATACTACAGTATAAGGGAACAATAAAGCTTAAATGACATATCTATTGCACTGGAAACTAAAATAGAAAGTCCATACAAAAACAAATTTTATGAAACAAATTTGTCAGTAGGTTTGGATGGAAGTGCACCTTTTATGAAACTCATCTTCAAATTCCCTTCCCCATATAGATTGTCCACCAGTGCCATCACCCAAGGGATCCCCTGTCTGTATCATGAATCCTTTTATTACACGATGGAAGATGAGATTATCATAATAACCATTTTTACAATGAGTTGTGAAATTCTCCACAGTTTTTGGGCACTCTTCAGGATACAATCTCAAGTGAATATCACCAAGTGATGTGTGCAGCACCTGACAATACAATGAACCCATTCAGGAGATTAATTCAGGTCATTAATCATTTCTTCATCATATTCATGCAAACCAAATTAATATTGTTTCCTACCTAAATTCAGCAACAAATTAAAACACTAAATGAAAGCAAACAACTGAAATATGAAAATCAAATGAACCAATGACAAATGGTACAAAGAGGTTTTATGGCATAATAAAATACAAAGCATTCTATTGGAAAACAAAAAACACTACCACATTATCAGGAAGGGATGATGTGACAGCTTTTCCTAGGTCCGATACAGCTAAAAGCTCTTCAGGAGGTGGTTTTTCATTAAAAACATCCCGTCCCTTTGTTGCATCTTCAGGTTCTTCAGGTTCTCTACGGCTATTCACAGCAAAACAAGAATGTTCAATACAATGCAAAAGCAACTTAAACCAGGTGATTACACCATTGATAATGACAAATTGTATGCTCAACATATGCAATGTGATATAATGTTATAATCAACACAAGCAACACTCTAATACAGAGAATATTATGACAAAAAATTGCATCATAACTAGTTGTCAACAACCATTTAGTTGCAAAGCACACGATTAGATAAGGTTAATTCATGATCAATTCCAGTTCAACCTACCATGATCTATGAGTGATATGAGGCAAGAAAATTGACTGCATATTGAACCATATACCTGAACAAATAAATTCTATGTTTCTTAAAAGCACAGCAAAGAAGTGTAGGATCCGTCAAGGGCTCTTTGCTCTCATTAGCATTTGCAGCTGCTGCAGGAATCTTCCTAACCTTTTTGTTACTCTTGTCACCTTGGTACAAAGCAATTCTTAAAAATCTATCATTGTTCTCCACTTTTCCAAGTATCCGTGCAACTTTATTTGTATGCAAATTGACAATCTGTAGTAGGAAAGAAAATTAAAAAAATTAAATTAGAGTGACATGGAACAAACTATTGTGGGAATTTCGCTATTTATGTCTTTCCACAGCATTTAATATAGATTTGCAACCAGTACATTGAATGTTTGCATAGTTTAAACTACAAAGAGAATACAATCAAGACAGTCACCACAACTTCTAAGCTACTACTACTTCATAGGTAATGTGAAATGCAAAAATATAGCCAGTAAATATGCAATTTAAAGATATGCAACAAATTAACTTGAACATACAGGTTCATGTATCAAAGAAAAGAAATGAGAAAAAAAGAAGGATGGGACTTCCAAAGTAACTTTAGAATGCAATCCATGTATAAAATGCTAGACGAACTATGAGTGCAAGTTTCACAAAAATAGAAATCAAAGCATGGTAGAATTGTTCAAGTTGTCAGCACAGGCAAAAAAGCAAGGCTTACTTTTATTCCCAAGAGAGTAGCATAAATAAGAAAGTTAGAGCTCTCGTCAAAGATAGCATTTGGTTGTGGAGCATTTTCTGTCTTCTCTATTTCCTTCTCAACAGCCATTCTTCGCCCAAAATCAATAGCCTCAAGGCGATATAAAGGAGCATCACTTCTTTGCAGATCTTGGGCCACCTGATCAGCAATTATAACAAATTCCAGGATCCTGACAATGAATCATATTCAATGACAGCTTTCAGATAGGAATGTGTTACCTCAAGAGACTCATCATATACACGTCTTAGTTTACCCGTTTTGAACCAAAAAACACGGATCCGGCGATCTGGAGATGTTATAGCAAACTGACTACCATTTGGGCTTACCTAAACAAACAAAAACCATCAAAAAATTGAACAATTTACTAAAAATCATTTTGTTTGTTGTCCCCTTTGGAATTTAAACAGTATGAACTGCCAAAATATTGAGGTAACAGGCATTAGAAAAGAAAACACACAACGCAACAAAGTTATCTTCAAAATTGGACAAATTATCAACCATTATTTTTTTCTGCTATACAGTGAACTTACATAAAAAGACATGCATGACAGTACACCTGGTAATAACTAGAGATAAAAGTCCTAAGTTGCTACAAAAAATGAACTTAACAAAAGCCGAAGAGAAGGATAAAAAGAAAGAGAAAAGCATGATGTAAATGAGTACAGTACCTCAATTGCTGATACAGTTGTCTTGCACTTAGCAATGTCAAATAGGTTCGTGTCAGTTTTGTATTTGAAACTCACACTGCACAAAAACAAGGAAAACATATAATTATTCAATACTCATTTTCTAATGTATGAATTCCTCAAATCAGCCTGCTGATTAGAAAATTAGCTCATGAAGTTTGATCATTCATATTTATGTGGATAAACATTTGCAATCAAATAACAATGACTATTTATCTAAGGTAAGAATTATCTAATTTTTTTATAATGCTACAATAGTACAAGAAATAGTACCAACCCATTTTCTGGAAACTGGAGATTATCCGGACACCAGTATTCAATGACACCTTTGGCATCAGCTGATATCACAACATCATGTATGTGGTTGTACTTCATTACTCGTATGGGGCCCATGTGAATCTGCAGAAGAAAGAAAATTAGACAATATATGCAACACCAAGTGTCGAAAACAGACTGATTTTGCTTTAAGGCTTCAAATAAAAAAGGATAACCACATCAACCTCCTTGGAGATGATTGGTTCATTTGAACCAGCGCGCACATCATATATGCCAACAAAAGCTGAATGTCGGTCACTAATTGCAAGCTTAGCTTTGACATCCCCCTGCCTGTAGACCCATTCAACCGCACCGGGAACAAATGGGAGACGCATCATAAACATCATGTCATAGTTAACAACATCATAAATCTTTACAGACCGGTCATTAGAGATTGTACAACACAATAAGCCATCAACACTGACCTGCATTACTGAACAACACCATGATCAACAGCAGCTAAACTAACACATTTTTTTAACTTTGAAACATTTAGCAAGGACAAGAACATCAACATATTCAAAAAACAACTACTACTCCTGGCAAACACCTATCATATAATGAACTACTCCTGGCAAGTTATCTTAGCTAAGCATAAGATCAAACACCTATCATATAATGAACTGGTCCTGGCAAGGAAGATTATAATCACTAGGAAAGTACTCACAGCCAAGTCTTCTATAGGGCCAAGGTGAGATCTGAAATGTTTAGCAAACTCAATTCCTAGAGGTTTCTTCTTCCAAAATTTTAAGTGCCCTGCAAGAAATGAACATCATGGAAGAAGATGACATCAATAAACTGCAACGAAGGCACAAAACTAGAGCATAAAGATAAATAAAGCGACCAAAAACTCCCCATTTAATCTGATTTCGGAAGATTTTTTACATGGAAAAGTCATGTTATCTAAAATATAATATAACATTATACTCAATCACCATATATGTTGAAGCACACGTTGGTCATCAGCTCAGACTTGCAATGTATTATCCCCTTCAGGTCATGGCCCACACAGTTATGTCCTTCAATATTAGGCCCACAATGTGCCTCAAGGAGAGGAAGCTTGGAGGCTCTTATTAAGGCCTTGGCGCTCCAACTATATAAACAATGTGGGACTAATATGGCATCATCAAGACCCCCAATTGATAAGCCACAAGTCTTTCTAGACCTACCCTTATGATGCCACATTATTCCCACATTGGTTAGGAAGTTGGAGAGCCAATATCTTATAAGAGCCTCTCCAAGCCTCCTCTCTTTAAGGTGCCCTTTGGGGATCATCTCAGAAGGATAAAAACATGCTGGGTGCTTCCAGAGCAAACAATACCTCAGGGACCACTGAGTCTGAGGCAATGACCGACATGTGCTTCATCAAATGGCAGCCTGCTAATTGACCTCATTACCCCACAAATTGTTAAAAGTGTTAAATTTGGAACCCTAGCTAGAATAGCCTAATGTATAGATAATTGAGTTAAATTGATATACAAAACTAAACTAGTATACAACTAATAACTTGGGCTGAAGCATTCTTGGCTGCATGGTTTAAGGTCTGCTTTCTCCATGTTGTTGGGCCAAATGAACCTATCTAATCGATCCGTACCAATTGGTTATAGAGCAAATCTATGGGTCCTACAGAATGGGCTAATACATGTTAAGATGGGAGTTACCTGATACACACCAATATGGGGCTTCCTAGGTTCAGATCCACAAAGAAACCACAGAAAAGACATTTTGGTCATACATATTGGCCTCGACAAAGACATCAAAGGAAAACAGGGAAGAACTACGACTAAACTGGCCTGCTACTTTAAGCATTTTGGGGCATGTACTTTAAGTTCCATTTCATTTAAGTTAATGGGCCAATGAGTCTATTGGGTCTGCTTGTGACATCAAAACAAGTGCAGTTAGCTGATGGCTACTAATTAGTTCAATAGTATTGTTTAATAGGTTAGTCTAAATTCAAAACTACAATATCTGTCAGCATGTTCTAACTCCTACAACTGCTCAATGTCATTGTCAGCAATAAAGCAGTGGGAAGAGAATCAAAGCACAGTCCAATAAGCATCATTATATCTCCAAGGAGCAAGAACATACAGGCATTAGAAATAGGAGCAGCTATATGTGCATCAGCATTGCCTTAATTCATATTTAAAAAAAATAGAGAAACCATAGGAAAGCAAACTGCAATGGAGATGCCCAACAAGAAGCACGGTTTTCATATATGATCATGGCACAGCTATCTAATACATTTAGAAGTGAATTCTTCTAATCAGGTTAAACATGATAAAGAATACAAAATTTGATGCATAATGCAGCCTTTCAAATATACCTCAACCATTGTCTAGTGCCAAAAGAGAACAATTACCATCATGAACAAGATAGTGATGCAAAATTAACCAACAGTATGCAACTAGTAAACAGCGTAAGATTTAGTTTCATTTAACAACCTTGACGGAACATGATCAAAAGCCTAGAATAAACAGATTCCTCGCAAACCGCACTAAGCTAAAAAGAAAAATCAAACGCAAGAACAAGTCACACAGAAAGGAACAGTGAGAGAGAGGGAACACCATCAACGCTTCCAGTGATAAAGAAATCGGCAGTCGACACGGCCACGTGCGTGACGACATCTCTGTGCATGTAACTTTTCTCGTACCTGCAGAATGCCATGCCTCGCGTCAGGGGAAGACCACAGGCAGAGAGCGATGACGCTATGAACTGAAGCTAAAACTAAGATCTCGTAAGAGAACCGATTATTACATGTGGGCGCAAGGAAGGACGTCGAGATAGGCATGCTCGAACTGGAGAGGGCGCTTGGATCGCGCGCGAAGGGCGGGCCCGGGCCCTATCATCGTCTCCTCCTCTCCGTCCTCCGCCGGCGTTGGTGGTGGCGGGTCGGACGAGGGATTCCCGTTCCCGCGCTCCTCCATCGTCCAGAGCGAGATCAATAGAGAAGGCGGGTGTGAGGGAAGAGACGCAGAGAAAACCAAGATTTAGGGTTCCGGTTATGGGGTTTCGGCTTTAGAGGAGAGTCGAGATTTATAACGGGCCGGGCTGGACCGTTAATTCTCCATATAAAAGCCCGATGCGACCACAAAAGTCCACGTGTACGCCGTGATGAGATTAAATATTTCATTCAATAAAGATGTTTATTCATTATTAAATAATATTAAAGATGGAAATATATTATTTAGAGGATTATTTTATTAAAGTAAATATATTACGTAACCTGCTTCGAAGAAGGAAAAGAATAAATGATTCATCTGAACTAATACTTTTTTTCCTTCGTATACTTAGGGAGCCTATGGAAACGAGAGAATATATTGTAATCGGATTATTAATCAAAGAATGAATTAAATAAAAGTTGCACTCTATACTCTTAAATTTATATTTCATGCCAGCTAAAGAGGGATTCTGACATCATCCATCTAATATTGTAACAGTTTGGGCAGTCCAATAATCACAAAATTGATCACCAAAATTCCAAGACAAATAAAGAATTAATCATGACAAGAGGGTAAAAATAGCTAGTTAATCGTCACATTAATATATATATATATACATATATATATATACATATATATACATATATATACATATATATATATACATATATATATATATATATATATATATATATATATATATATATATATATATATATATATATATATATATAGAGAGAGAGAGAGAGAGAGAGAGAGAGAGAGAGAGAGAATGGGTCTTGTCACCAGTTTTGTGACAGGCTTCAATGATGAGTACTTTGTCCAGAATCGAACACTTGCCTGCAATTAGAACTCCGCACTAGGTTGGATGTCGATGAAACAAGGAAGAAGCCAGTGATCGAAACAGTCGCCAGCTTCACTTGCTCTTGAAAGCTTGGATCAACAGAGTGAACTGAGACGCCCTCTTCGCCAACTCCTCCTCCGACCACGGCCTGCTCGCGAGCGCGCTCCTCGCCCGGAACATGAAGGTGGCGCCGCTTGGTGACCCGCGGAACCACCAGTCGTGCACGTCCCACAGCACGTCGATCGCTGATCCGTCCACGAATATGGTCTGATTCCCGCGGAAGTTCCACATCACGCGCTTCACATGGAGCAGCCTCTTCCTGTCGACGCAGACGTAGAGCTCGGCGTCCTTGGCGTCGGTCTCGTCTCCCTTGCATCTTACCATGATCTCGTGATCCTTGCCGCCGTCGTGAAACTGAGCCTTGGTGGAGTAGAGCGTGGCGCCGAACACTTGCTCCCTCCTGCTGTACATGGAGGACGCGGCGACCAACACCTTGTCTTCGAACTTCTTGATGAATTCTCTCCACATATCACCTAGCAATAGCACGAACACCTTGTCGGCCATCATGACGAGGTAGAAGTCCCGCGTGGGCTCAGCTCCTGCGCCATACGTCGCGGCGGAGATGTCCCAGTGGAGAGCAAACTCGGAGTTCCCGATGGCGAAGGACTGGCTTCCCTTCTTCCTCATCAAGAGCTGGCAGGTGGTTCCGCGGGGATCCGAGACACCAGCACCGGGGTTCTCTTCGATCACGACCAAGACCGACGTATCGCGGTTGTTCTTGTGCCAGGTGACCTTATTGAGCAACTCATTATGGGTGGACAGAGCGGCTCTGTAGCAGCAGGAGACGGTGCTCTGTGGCGGCCGTTCCGAGGAGATGCTGCTCCCGGAGCATGCGGATCCGGCGACCCTGACGGCGTGATGGCCGAGGCATGGGACGAAGTCTCTCATCGTCGGAGGAAGAAGCAGCAAAGAGTTGGCGATATGACTCCTTCCAGAAGTATATTATCATGCAGTTGTTGCCTATATCCTTCACTTTGATGACTCTTTCAACTCTACTAAGTATGAGATATATGAAGGATTATGGTGGAAATAGTTTTTGTAGTCTATTTATTTATATTGTATAGAATTTATAGCAGGATTGGTTTGAGGGATTTAGTAGAAGTAAGATGATAACTTCTTTAGCATTCTACCTTTCAAAATATTGAATATATTAAAAAAAATGAAAAGACTAGTAAATGTAAATACAACCTTTACATCCAAAAATAATCAAGTGGCCTTAAATATGTAACAAGAGTCGATCCAACAATTGTTTAAGAAAGTGATTGATATCAATAAAGTTATTGCCTATAACCATAATGTCATTCACACAAACTAATAAATATATAAAACAATTTTTTTATTATCGTATATATAAAAAGTTATCAGATTTAAAATTAGCATAGACAGTTAACATCAAGTATGAGCCAAGTTGATTGTACCATGCTCGTGGAGCTTAGTAAAATTATATATAACTTTTTAGAATTTACATATATAGTTAGGATGTTAAGGATTAGTTAGGATGTTAAGGATAAAAAAAGCACTATATTAACATATCATTAATTTAAGTTTCCTAGAAAAAAGATATTGTTAATATTCGGTTATCACAGTTGTCAAACGTTAACTGATAGTCAAATTCATGATAAATTGAATTATCATATATTTGATAACAAGATTGAATGCTTCTATAAAGTCAATGATCTTTGATAAAACCTTTTAGCTACCAAATATGCTTTGTATCTGATAATGGATCCATCAAGATTCAATGTCATTCAAAAAATTCATTTCATTAGATAATTTTTTGTCCGAGATTAGATGATATAGGGTCCATATGGCATTACAAAGAGAGTGTTACCAATCGCTCCCTCCGTTGTAAACTAAATAAAATTTATATTGTATTCTTTTATGACTCATTTATTATAAAAAATTTAAATACGAGAGCATCCTTAGTTCGAGGTCGGAAGGTCGGAATAAATACATTAGGGAAAGAAAAGGGTGATCAGGGTTCTCGCAAGAGTGCCACCAAGAAAATGATGCCAATAATTGAATGATGGCACGGCTTTCGTCTTAAGACAGAGCTGAATGGGGAATTAACTTTTCTTCTGGTAGTTTCATGCCTGAAGCAAGTTTGAAGAAATCAGTTGAGTTTTAGCAAAAGCTGCTTTACCAAGCAGTAAGAAAAAAGTTAATGTTCCAGTTGAGGCAAGACATGAACATTTATTTGGAAATCAAAAGAAAGAATTTGTTTGACATGGAAATGGTAAATATTCTTTTACACCATAGGTATTAATTGGTTCATACGTCCCAAAGAAATGCCTTTTGTTTTGATTTGCCTCATCATTCAATTAGTTGATCATACTTTCAATCCACTCTGCTGTTTACTTCAAATTTCTCTTTACAGCACGAGAGAACTTTCAACTTGTTGATGCATTGAAGTTTGGTGCTATTCAGGCTGAGAAGAATGAGCTTCGCGATGAGAAACAGAGGCTAAAGGCAGACAAGGAGAGTCTGGAGCAGCAGATAGAACATCTGAATGCTAGACCCAGCTACTTGCCGCACCCACCTGTTATACAGGCTCCCTTCACAGTCCAAAGTCAAGCTGCTGGGAACAAGCTAATGATAAATGCCCTCCTGTTGCATAAGCCTATTGTTGATCAAGCCAAATCACAGTCAGCTCGAGCTTATTCTAGCCTGATTTCATCATTAGTCTCTAAAGACAAGAACCGCTTATCTTTTTCCATCTACAGCCGAAGGCTGTTTTGAGAAACAGAACTAAGATTCTCATGGATGTGTACCTTCCTGGTAAATGCCTCTTGTATCTCTCAAGTCATGAATTAGTTGCCCATCTCCCTGTAAATGCAACATAAACAGGAGATTACTGACCTCAATCTGCTGATGTATGGAGAGTCCCATATGCAAGTTAATATTGTGTTCAATGGAATAGTAATGGATCTTGGATTTATAATTATCTTGACTATTTGGGGTTGGTTGTATGATTTTATTTTTTTTCTGGAGTTAAAAATTTGACAATTACAATATAATCAAGTATAATCTTCCAATCCCAAAAGTAAAGTAGAGATGGAAACTGATAAAGATAATTTTGTACCTCGGAAGTTTGATCCATCTTAGAAGTGTGATACTACAAAATCAAGTGGAAAAAAAGAGGAAGCCTTGTGAAAATTTGAAATTATTGGTAATGCATAAATAATTTAATAACCAATATAATATAATATGTCTTCAACACTTTCAACTCTATTATTTTTTGTTTTCTATTTTTTTTCTGTTGACATCCTCTCTTATTCTCCATCATCGACTCACTTACCTTTTACTTTTTCTCGTAATTTGGCTATTGTCCTCTTCACACTTTTAGGATCATTCTTTTTCTTCCCCTTCTTTTATTACAAGATTTGTAATTTATTTTTCTTTTACTAAGAAAAAGACCCTTTATTCCCTTGGCATAAAAAAGGACAAGAAGAAAACAGTGGCTGTTCCATGCAACAAAGTGAGAAAGTAGTAGCACTTTTATCTCGAGAAGATAAAGCAAAAGATGGAAGAAAGGAACCGTCACATTCATATGGAGGAGGGCATGCAGGTTAGAACAAAGTCAAGGGTTGGACGTAGAAATGGCGGCATCCTCACCTCACATTTGATTGTGATAAAAGGATTCGCGACAGATATTCTTCCTGCACTTTGTCTTCGCGTGTATGGATTTCTCTCCCAATTATTTTGGTGCCACCTCTTCGCCATCGTCACTCCCCTCGTCACTTCCCTCTTGTGTTGCCTTGCTTTACTGGCACCGATATGCTTCGATAGGTGCAGAGGATCCTAACCCTAATGGTGAGAGTGATTATCGACGATGCTTCTATCAATCCGATTCCATTCCGGATCATATGTGCAGAAGTACGAAATTGATTGAGAGGGTGACTCAGGTGCTCGCCTGATGACTGACCTACCAAGAAGCTCAGAATCGGATGAGATGTCCGATCTGATCCCTTCGACACTCTATAAAGTTAGGATTGATGGCCGTGCATCATGTACAAGCAAGTGCAGTGCATACTGATCGCTCTCCTCCACACCTCTTTGCCGTGATGTTGATGAGCGTGGAATCTTCGTCCCACATAGTGCTCGCCAGCCCGGGCTGGCCGTGACTTGGCACCTCCGATTCGCGGCGGCAGATGAGCAACGTCGGCCTGTGTCTCTACCTGGCCGGGCGCCATTCAGGGAAGGTGATGGCTCAAAGCTCTCTGTGCATGCTCTCCCTGCAAGTTATAGCATCCTTATATATATATATATATATATATATATATATATATAATCAGAAATCTGTCACCAGCTTTGGCTGTGTTGACTGAAAGGTTGAAAGGGGGGGGGGATGCTGCACCTATCTAGAAAGAAGAACAAGATAAAGTAGATTCCAACAATCGTGCAGATAAAGTGGATGCCTCCAGCTGCAGTATAAATGATTGTGCTCCCTCGTCTTTGAATTCCCACCACAACACCTAATTTGAATTGCCATTTCTTCCTGTTCCTGTTCTTTGTTTGTGTGCATCCATCCATACATAGTTTCTTCTCTTTTACAGCGCATTAGCAGGCAGCCAATGTCACGAGGAAGGGATCCTTTGGTGTTAGGGCAGATTGTTGGGGATGTGTTGGATCCTTTCACTAGATCTGCTACTATGAGAATTATGTACAACAATAGGGAAATCTCGAATGGGAGTAGGCTAAGGCAATCGGCTGTGGCGGATAAGCCACAGGTTCAAATTGAAGGGAATGATCCAAGGAAGCTCTATACACTTGTAAGTTCGATGTCATAGCTAGACGAGTGTTTTCATGGTCTTGTTGCTGTGTCAACTTGGAACACATGCCTGCAGCCTCTTAACCACATATCAAAGCCTGCATACATAAACCAGTAAATTGATTAATGAATAGGATTATCGATATCGGCTGTAAATTATAAGACATATTGTTAAAAATGAATACTTAAGCAGCTTTACTACTAATTTGCTAACGCTATTTTCGTATTAGATATTAAGTTGAAAAATAAATAATACTTTAATCTGCAATTAACCATATAGATATCAACTGACTAATTGTTATTATTTTGGATCTTTATGATTCTACTATCATACTTTTGACTTGATAAGGTTTTTGACACTGGACAATCTTAATTTGTTGACATAAGGTGATGGTGGATCCTGATGCACCAAGTCCAAACAATCCAACTGATAGAGAGTATCTGCACTGGTAAGCTAAAAATTATTTATCCAAAAATAATATCATATATATATATGATTTTTGTTTGATTTAATTTTTGCAAGAAAAATGTACTGATAAATGATGTTTATATATTGAAACAGAGAAATATAATCCCCACAAAATATTTTTTCCAAGACTACCTTCTTTATTTCATCTCTCTGGTTTAAGAAGCTAGTGGACATGAAATTACTAAAATCTTATGCACCATATATGTACACTCTTTAACCCATTCTTATTATCTTAGGCATGTCTATCAATCCACCAAAACAAAGTTCTTCTCAATCAAGTAACTCATTGGTCTCTTGGTAATACTTTTTAGGTTGGTGACAGACATCCCAGAAACTCTTGATGCAAGTCATGGTGGGTAAAACTTACTCTAATAATCTCTTCCTAAATGCATAGTACTATGACATTCTCAAATAACATAAATTTGGTTTTTGATGTGTTTTTTATATGTATAGTCCTCCACTCTTATTTTCTAATCACCCCAAAATAATGATAAGGACAGTAACATATAAACTATACAAAATTCTGTAAGTAAATTGGAACCAAACACTATTTGAGTCATTAAGTTACTTTGGCAATAAGACCAAACTGGCATAATTGCTAACATCTAGAATTTGTCATGTCATTGTTGATTCTGTACAGGTTTCTTCAGACTAAAGGGAAAAATAAAAGAAACATAATACATGAATTGACCATACCAGAATTCTCTTAGCTAATATCAACTATTTCTTTTCTAATCCTAATTAATTATTGGAGAAATATAACTCATCAATTTTACCTAGAATGTTTAGTTCTACCACAATTTCTTATGACAACATGTATGCTTCAGTTATTCAGAAATTTGAACTATCTAGAAAGTGGTTTCTATGTTCCATTTGCTTTTATGTTCGAGCAAATTAAATAATATGCTTATGTGAATCCAAGAAAAAAAAAACATTTGGCCTACACAAATATTCTCATTCTTGTTCAGGAACAAGTGGATAATACTGTCCTGTGTTATTTATGTAGGCCAGAAGAACACATGATGTTTGAAGTAAATGGGTTTGTGTTTACCCCTTTCAGTGCTCCATAGTTCTGCAGGAGGAGATGCATATGTCATGTGTGTTCAATCCATTTGCAGCAAACATGATGTGCAATATATATATGAATATATTGGATACTTGGAGCATATAAACATGCATAACTGGAGAAAGAAATGAGGTTGCCATGCTCCTTTACAAAGAGGAGATTGCACCTCATTCTTCCTCCTACAAGTGGTAGCACAAATACGTATGCTGCACACGTACTCGTGCACTGTTGTGCAAGCTACAGTGCTTCTTAGAAAGCCCGGTCAAGCTCTCTGCACGCATGCACGAGTACGTCGACTCAAATGGCATCGATATACTGCTGCTACTACTACGTAGTGGACAAGAGAGAAGGGCGGGTGATGGCCCCACCTCCAACAAGTGTTCTTTCTTTTCTCCTGCAGGCCCCACTTCCCTGCGTCAGTCGGCGTGGCAAGGCTCCGACCGGAAATCGAGCTCGATGGACGGCTGTTATCCTCCCCCCCCACCCGCTCCCGGTGATCAACGCTTGACTTGACGCCTTTGTGGTTTGTGCGGGCCCACAAGAGAACCATGGTCGGCCTCTATTTTCATGATCTTTCCATCAAGCACTCACACACCTAAATGTTCTTTTGACTAAGATGAAGCAGCAATATTATATACAGGCAGGCATGCAGGCACGTCGAGGAGACACTTCAAATGCACTTGAGATGGCTGTTGATACATATATATATATGCGAATGTTCTCTCTTCTCATGCAAACTAGATCATAGTGATGTTAGGAAACTTAGTCACTCATGTTATCTGCAAATTGAATTTTTCTATATTTTGCCTCTCATAGCAACATATATACACAATTGCATCACCAAATTCTTCCATGCATGGAAATATATGACTGTGTTAACTTTCTCTATCATATTAGTGAAACTACTGTATACTATTGGATATGAAATTTTGGTCCTCTCAGTAGCTAACATCTGAGATATACACATATGTATACATCTGATACTGGGAGGGGGATTCCCAGGATCAGTTCACTGGGTCATGATGCCTGTATAATTGTAATCATCCTTTGACGCATGTCATTAAATATTGTGATATAGTATATGAAATCTTGGTTCTCTGCCATGTGCTACTGGGAGAAGGATTCCCAGGATTGAATTGGCTGTGGAGAACTCAGAAGTGGATCAACATCCTCCTCCATCAATGGATTCAATTCCCTAAAGGTGCATGTGAAGTTGAATGCATAAAATCTGACAAGAAACCGGGAACGTTGTTTCAGGAAACGAGATAGTGAGCTATGAAAGCCCACGGCCACAAGCCGGGATTCACCGTATCGCACTTGTCCTCTTCCGTCAGCAAGTCCAGCAGACTGTGCATGCGCCTGGGTGGCGTCAAAACTTCAGCACGAGAGACTTCTCTGCCTTCCATAACCTTGGACTCCCTGCTGCTGCTACCTTCTTTAATTGTCAACGAGAGACTGGTTGTGGAGGAAGAAGGTAGTAAATAACACACTAAGAACTCCATCATCTAGGTCATGATTCATGCATCCATCCATATTTAGTGTCAGGTGAAGGCGATCATCGAGGTGTTGGATCCATGTGAAGAGTGTCTTTTAGGTTTGTCGATGAAGCAATTAAGAGTTTCGTTAAGTAAATAAAGAACAATATGTTGCATGTGATGTGATACTTTATAGCTGGGTTTTGACACTACTAAGATGTATGTAGATGAGATTAGCTCATTTTGAATTTAAGATTCAAGCAAGAATGATTATGTTAAATAAGGATATATATATATATATATATATATATATATATATATATATATATATATATATATATATATATATCTGTGTGTGTGTAGATTCCATGTATAAAATGTTTTGAGTGATTTTTAAGGGACTCATGTAATTTTTCTTCTGATGAAAGGTTCTAAGGAAGGGGTTAACAATTTCTTGAGCAAAGGGAGTTCTCAACTATGCATGCAGGCTATCATAGATGGAAGCTTGAAGACTCTCCAATCTACATCTAATTGAACTTTTGTTAGATAAATTTGTCATAGTTTCTATTACCTTATTTATGATGCCTCAATCTTGAAGATTCCATTTGGGGTCTTTAGTATGTTTTTCTTTGCTATATAATAAATAATTAAACTATATGGTTTCGATGTATCCAATCTTATGTCCTCTTAATATGAGAGGGTAATTTATGAGAGAGTGAGAGGTTTGGCCGTATGGGGTTGAGAGGAGATTTGACAATGTGTTGTGTGTTATGTCACATAGTTACTGCATGGTGCAGTCGCATTACATTTAGTCTCAATTTCTATCATTTACAGAGCAGAGGAGACACCTTTCAGCTCTCAGCTTGACATATGATTACCGCACATCAATATCCAAAACCTTTGTGGAAGTCGAAGCCTTTGGTATGGTAATATACAGCACGCCATCCTTCACCTCTGCCTTGATCTGCTCCACCAGCACATTGTCCGGCAATGCAATCCTACTGCTGTATCTCCCATAGCTCGTGGCTGACCATTCCTCGGCTTCTCCTTCCTTCGCCGGTAGCTTCTCGGCCTCGATGACCAGCAGCCTCTCCTCCACCCACACCTTGACGTCCTTCTTGGTCATGCCCGGCATATCGAACCTCATCCTGTACTCCCCCGCTCCTTCCTTGATCTCCCACGGCGTCCTCCGCCTTCTGTAGCTTCCCACGCTGTCCTCGCCGCTCAGGGAAGGCAGGGAAGCACCGCCGTAAGCGAGAGGATCCTCCATGACTCTCTCCATCGTGTCCATCATCTGCTGGATTGTCCTCGCCGTGGGGAACCTGTCCCAAAGCCCTGAAGAAACAGCTCACATATGCCCAAGTGATTGCTTAGCAGCCGTACATGCATTGGTGTCTCAGACCAATTGGCTTTGCGAGCTTACCGATGGGGGAAGATGGAGCTGCTCTCCTTTTGAGCAGGGGTTGGCTTTGCTGTGGCTTGCTGGCTCTCTGCATGTGATCCAAGTTGTCTCTGCTCTGAGTACCCATGGCCGTGATGTGCCACCTCCCGCAGTTGATCGGACCTCTCCTGGTCGAGAGGAGGACTGAGGAGGGGCTGAAGCTGGAGAGAGCCAGTGACATCTTCTCGCCACTGTTGGTGACTCGATCGGGAGATGGGATTCGGAGAACAGAGCGCACAGGTTGAGGATGATGGGCACTTAAGAAGGAGTGGAGGACTGCTCCGGATGTTTCCGGAGATGTGCTCGCTTTGATTCCCGTGTCTTCTGACGCTTTCTAGATCACGCCGGAACCTGGACCCACAGTGAGTTGGGTCCACTGTCGATTTTAGATGTGGGACCCATTGATGACAGCGGTCGATAGAGCCACCCGTTCCTGAACCGGGTCAAACAGTTAACGGTCGATCTAGCCCTGAACCGGTAGCTTCCCTTCCTTCGAATTTGGAATCGGAATCGTTTTTTATTCCGATTTTGAACTGATACGGTCTATTTTAATTTATTATTATTATTATTTAGAAAAAATATCTCTCTTAGTTGTCATTTCTGTGAGTTATTGAAAGAGACATATTAAGGGAATTTAATCATTTATGTTTTTTTTTTATTTTTTTTACATGTTTGGAATCGAATTGAAATCCTCAATTTTAGTTTTGGTTCTGGAAGATTCTAAGAACCGAACCGCTAGAACTTCATTATGGTTCAACTAGTATCCACCGAACCGTTGACCTTCTTCGATTTTGATTCAAATCGAATTATGATCAAATCCATATCTATAGTATTTATCGTTGCATGAAAATAAATAAATTATTAAATAACTAATTTGTTCCTACTATCTTTTTGAAAGATGCTTCACTTTCAAGTAATAATTAATAAAGTAACTATTACTTTCATTTTTGTATAATACTATCTTTTTTGTCTTTTCTCTATAGATACCTTTTCAAGATTCTCATTGGAGATTATTATTTATAACTCTATTTTTATTATTTATAATCCAACATCGGATGAGATCGACGATGATAGAGGGGGAGAATTGACAACAAAGAGTATAGGCTAGGGGCGACGAGTGATGGGGGGAGTGCTATGTACGATGATAAGCTGGGAGTGATAATCGATGATAAAAAGTAGTGTCGGGCACTTTGTGGGCAATAATCAGTGCTAGTGAGCTACGAGGAGAGTCGGTAGCAACAATGTAGGCAAGTAGTAAAGAGCAATGAGGAGCAAGCTAGGAGCAACAATCGATGACAATGAGTGGTGGGGGTAGGACGTGAGCAATGATCAGTAACAACAAGCAATAGGGACAGTCTATGATAATAATGTAAATAATAGCATGAGATAATAGAGGACGGATTAGGACAGTGATCAACGACAATTAACGGTGAGGGGAGTCAGTGGTAAGGAACAGTGGGGGATAAGCTAGGAGTGATGATCGACAACATAGAACTATGAGGGTAGGCTAGGGACGATGATCAACAGCAATGATTGATGGGAAGAGTCGATAGTAGTAAGGTGTGCAGGCGAGCGCTATGGAGAATATAAAAAAAAGGGTAAAAGTATAATTAGAGGGGCTATGAATATAATAATATTATTTTATTAATTTTTTAAGAGGTTATAAATAATAAGAACGAGCTCTAAATAGTAAGCTCTTTCTCATTTGATGTCTATATTTTTTTCTAATAACTTAAACGTCCATTGTTGTCATTCGCTACTCGTCGTCTTCGTCCCGTTGTCTTTCCCTACTGTAAGGCCCCACCTCTTCCACACTATTATTTCTACCCTCACATTGTCACCTGTGTGTTTGCCTCCACCAGGCGTCATCACCACCGTTGCCTTCTCCTCTTCACTCTTAGACTGTTTTTCTCTTTTTTTCCTTTTACACTGATCATATAGAAACGATAAGGCCTTGCAGCATAGCACATGTAGTTATGGCGGGACAAAGGTGACAAGCGACAACGATAGATATTTATAATATTAGAGGAAAGAGACAATAAATAAAAAAAATAAAAACTAACGGCACCTTATGAGAAAAACACAAACAGAACTTTTTCAAAAAATCATCCCTTTTTATCCATTGTGTGTGTCTCTTTTGGGTACATATTTGTTAAGAAATTATTCAAATTAATTTACCTAACGAGTTTGTATTGTTTTGGTTAGTTAACATATATTAAATTATCAAAATACAGTAATTCATTAATGAAAAGCCATATGATAAAAATAAAAATTATTAGTGGCTATGTTTAAGCTTGAGAACACTTGTAGATATATTTGAGATTTGGTGACTTAAAACTTGATGTTATTTATTATTTTATTTTTTTTAGTTCTATCATTTGTCTTTCAAATTGCTCATGAATTCCATTTTTTTATAGATATAAAGTCCAATGAGCATGGTCTACAGGGGATGAGCTTCTGGAATATACTAAGCTTATGTCACTTGGAATCTTTTAAACCACAATGTAGATCCAATGGCATGCAACCTAAGCGTTCACTGTGCATACAATAGTCGGAAGCTTTGTTCATATTTGGCAGACATCACAAACCAAACCATTTGCTTTCTTCTTTCTGCCATCTTCTTCACGTGGATTCCTCTACACATGCAGTCTGTTGGTTATACTCAACACAATCTGCAAGCAAACAGAGCAGCGATAAGTTTATCCACTAAGGGAACACCAGTACGACGCACCCCACCATTATCTCGTGGCCTTCGAAGCGTCCCCGTGACCGTCCAATCCGGACAACCCCGGGTCACGGGCTCCGTATCCCACCGCTATATGTATGGGCACCGATGCCTCTCCCAGTGAGCTATCAGAAACAGAGAGAGAGAGAGAGAGAGTGAGAGCGATGGAGTGGAAGCTTAGGAGCGTGGCGTTGGCCATGGCGGTGGTCCTGGCGGTGGCGTGCACCATGGAGGTGGCGGCCCAGAGCTTGTGCAAGATGAGCCAGGAGGGGCTGGATGCATGCAGGCCGTGCATCAGCACGGTGAAGCCGGCGGAGCAGCCCAGCGACGCCTGCTGCGCGGCGCTCAAACAAGCCGACCTGCCCTGCCTCTGCTCCTACAAGAACTCCGTCCTGCTGCCGTACATCGGCATCGACCCCAAGCGCGCCATGCAACTCCCGGCAAAGTGCAGCATGGCTGCTCCCCAGCAGTGCTGATGAGATGCTGCAACCCCATTGCTTTGCTTGGTGCTTCTTTTAGGTCTGTGGTGTTTAGGGTTATTGTCTTCAGGGCTTGGAATGTGTTCGTCTTGTGTACCATGTCACCGTCGTAGAAGTGCATCTTTTCTTCCTTCGCCTGAGAACTACATGTTGCTGATCAGGTTATGAGTACGTACCGGTCGAACAAATGCATAAAATGAATCATAACCAAACGACTAATTTAAAGAAGTTGCTCAGTCATAAAACGAAATAGCTTTGCAACCATTCGTGTTGATGCAATCACTCAAAGTATGGTAAAAAGAATGTGAAACTGGATGGACAAAAAATATAGTGTAACAAAACCAAGTCTTTTTTAGAGCGTAATCTAATGTTAAAGAGTATAAGCTTTGATACCATAAACGGGTTATAAATTGACTCACACTTAGCTTATTTCTAGACTCATGAAAAAACTGACTTGTAGACTTATGGCTTATTTCGAGACTATTTTTAAAATACATATTTTTAAATGATTAAAATTTTGTTTTTTTAATTAAATAATGTTAATTTGTTTTGGCATTAAAGATTGGTAATTTTGTTCTCACATTTGGCAAAAACATGAAAGAGTTCATATCACCCACCTCAAGCGCTTTGGATAGATTGGACGCTACTTGGCACTGATCACTGATGCGAGTCTCATATACCCCCTCACTTTTGCTAGGACTATGACATAGTAGGGGGTGGTGGAGAAGAAGAAGGCCCATTAAAGAGTAGTACTTTTTTGAGCTGAGATCCGTCCATGCACCTCCACAGTTATTGCCTCCTCCTGGAAAGCCCTACCAGAAGACAATTAAGCATGAGCAGAAATAAGACGTTTGACACAATGCCCGTACCTGCTTGCTAGCCCCCCACGGATCCCTAATTCTGTCAGATGAGCTTCCAGGACAGGTGATTTCCGGGGTGGATGGAACACGGGGATAGGAGATACTAAGCATGTAAACACCGAACTCATAATCAAACAAGAAAAGTCGATCATATCATACCACATCTACTTTAGAGATTCCAATAGCTTCAGTATACATTGCCGTAAAGTCACAATGGTCATCTGTGTTGGGTTGCAGGCTCTTCATGCATCTGACACTAAACCTGCCCATTGGAGGAAGGGGAAGCTCCAGCTCCAGTTCCAGTTCCAGCCCCAGCATTATGTTTTCAAGTTCAGGTTTGACGATTTCAACCAGGTGGTAATGCAACTAAATGAAGATAGATCACCCCAAGCACAACTGAACAGCATCATGTGCAGTATCAATAAAGGATCTCGATTAATTGTTTCGTCGTGAAACTCAGGAGGGGGCTATTTGCCTTATCTCAGGATACATTGCGTACACATCTTTAAGTTACGGTCAGATTGTAGACTAAATACATACATATATATATATATATATATATATATATATATATATATATATATATATATATATATATATATATATATATATATAAATATATATATGCTTCACTAAAACCACAGCAAGAAATCTAGGTCTACAAACACACCAGGATATCTTTTCACGAAATATAATGGGCCTCCCCAAATTGCAAACCTGCCTCTTCATAATGCAATCTGCTAGCTGTATCACCATGGGGTATATTAATAAATTCTAGAGCATGATTTGTTGAATCAATGCCATGTGTATATTGTGGCGGCATTATGAAACTCTTCAACTATCAAGGTAGCCTCCGGTCCCTCATCTGTCATATGGAAACTCGTTATCGTTTTCCATCACTTTGAATGGCTGCGGATGATTACCAGAGCAGTACAAGTACCACATCTTGAAGTATGCCCTCTCCAGATTAAGAACCTGCAACAGTTTTGATTAGTAGAACTTACAAATAACAACCCTTCAGCAAGATGTGTGCACTTAAAATGCATGTATCTCTGTTATATACGGCAGTCACTGTGGTTGAGCATAAACATAGACCACTGGAAGTAGAAAGATTCTTCCTGGCAGAAGGAAAAATAATGAAAATGGAAAGAAAAAAAGAAGACTGACTGGCATTTAACTTACCCATCTCTTGGTGTCAAACAGTGGGCAGGTCATCCTTACAGCCTTTAGCCTATTCGTAAGTGCCTGAAGCTTTGAAGGATTTTCTGCCAAAGTTACGGCCCTTTCTTCATATTCTTTCAAGCTAATAAGAAAAAAAAACCAAATAATGATATTATAATCAATTGTTATCTTTAAAAACAAGCAAGCTAGGACTAAGAATAATCACCTATTTACAATCATCTCATCACCAAGTCCAGTGGCTAGACACAGGGAACCAGCCACCCTGGTAGCCATTTTCTCTAAAGGAAGTGTTATTATTGGCAAACCAGCCCATAACACATCTGTGCCAGTTGTGTGACCATTACAAAGAGGCCTGCACAATTAGAAATGTATCTTAAAAACAATGGCAAAACTACACTTACAAGTGGACGTATAGCAGAAAAATATAAAAGAAGAATACAGACGTGTCAAGGAATAGGTCAGCTAAAGCACTGCGCCTTATGTGCTCATTCTTCACAGCAACATCCGTGAATATGATTTGATCAGGCTTCACTCCCTGAGCAGCAGCATCTGCACATGCAAATCTGTGTAACAACTAGAAGTACATGTACATAGGCATATGCATGTGTGTGAAAGGGTGTACTTGCATAAATGTCAATGTCTTTCGTCTGTATCTCTAATAAAGATCTATCAAGAGATCATCTAGGCTTCGACATCGAAGCCTACAGACGTGTCGAAGCCTAGATGATCTCTTGATAGATCTTTCAGGTTACTTTTGGTTGGTAATATGCTTAATGAGGACTTGTCAGGTTGGTAATATGCTTAATAAGAGTGACCTATTCCTTGACACGTCTGTAGGCTTCGATGTCAGTAAAACTGACCATTATATTAGCCCAAGATGAATAACAAGTTGGGTTGGCTAGGTAGTATACCCACCTGACAAGTCCTCATTAAGCATATTACCAACCAAAAGTAACCTGGGTATATATATATATATATATATATATATATATATATATATATATATATATATATATATATATATATATATATATATAT